TGTTTTCTTGGAAATGTAGGAAGTCTATGTTAACATGGTAGAAATTGCTTCAAAGTTTTATATTTAAGATTGATAAAATGTATGCAATCTCAAAGAGTGGCTATTAACCATATGCGCTCTTCTTTGTTAAACTGATAGAATTATGCCCTAAGATGCCCTGTTCTTTTCTTCTATTTTGCCTTTAAAATAACTTGGTTGCATAATCAGAAATTCTAAAAATATTAAGGCAATCACAGTGGACTTTGATGTAATGGGTAAGGTGCTAGGCTAGACATCACATAAATATGAATTCTAGTGCCTCCTTGGGCATGAGATAGCTTTTGGCAAGATAGCTTTTGACCAGAAACTCTTCCATACTTGAAGGTAGACTAGGACTTGGATTTTCCTGTTCAACTCCTTAATTACTATACCACGCTCAATGGCTGTGTGCACATGCGTATAAATCTTATGTAAACATTTGGACCTCTTTATTTCCCTTCATATTTTGGACATGGAACTCATTGGTAGCAGAGAAGTTTCAACTTGTTTAGCTGTAACACAACAAAGGAAGGATAACTTGCTAACCATTTGAGCCGTGGTGGCAGTGGTTAGAATGCACTATTGCAGACTAATTCTGCTGACTGCTGGCAGTTCGATTCTCACCAGCTCATGGTTTACTCAGCCTTCCATCTTTCTGAGGTCGGTAAAATGAGGACCCAAATAGTTGAGGGCAATATGCTGACGTTGTAAAGAGAGAGCTATAAAGCACCATGATGCAGTATGTAAGTCTAGGTGCTACTGTTATTTGTAGCAATTCATTGATTATGCATGTGGGGCAAGGTGGTTGCTGGGGTAATAAATATTGTTACAATTGTTCTCTTTACAGCACATTTTATAATTATGTAAAAGATATTCTTAGAAATTATGATTTAGGTTTGAAGCTGATTCTATTGAATTTATATTTTTATTTCATTAATTTACCATAAAATATCTGTAGACTTGGATTAGATGAGGATGGGGCAGTCAGGATATTTCTTGCTCCATCACTTGCAGTGTGTTTGCATGTTTTTTCTTCTTTTTGCCTGAGTAAATGTAGCTTTTGAACTCCATCCATTTTGTATATTCTACAACATTCAATGTCTACAATTCCAGCATCTCGGCTTGATTTTTTCTGGGTGCTAACTCTGGCTGAAGAACGCCAGTGTAAATAATCCAGTAGTAAGAGATCCCTTTGGATTTTCTACTCTGGACAGATATTTAATCAAATTCTCAGTAATTATTTTCTTGTTCTGCTATAAAATATAAGGTTAATACAGCAGGAGGATCTCATTCCCCACTCAGCTTCACAAACTTTATATGCAGAGGGTCATAACCCAATCACACCCCATTATATTGTAATGATTATTGTTCTGCTAGGACTAGAGAGATCCCATTTAGCTAAAAGTTTCATGTATTGATTGTAGCCAAATGAATGTCATGTGAATGAGTTTGGTGATACCATGTTCTTAGAATTCAAAAAAGGTAAACATGCAGTTAAATCAAATATATATTTTAATTAGAAAAGGTAATGTGTTTTTAACGTCATAAACAATTTATTCCTTTATTATGGCAGTAGCTTTTATCATGAATGCAGAATGTTTTGGTTGTTTTCTGAATTCTTTAGTACGAACTTTAACCTTGAATTACATGTAGTCCTTGACTTATGACCATTTGTTTAGCAACCATTTGAAATTATTACAGTACTGAAAAAAAAGTGACTTACAACCAGTCCTCATACTTATGAGACTGTCACAGTCCCTGCAGTCACATGATCATGATTTGGGCACTTGCAACCAACATGGAATTTCAGTATCCCAAGGTAATGCGATCACCATTTGCAAGTTGGTGAAGAAAGTTAAATTTGCTTAACAACCATGGCAAAAAAGATTGTAAAGTTGGTTACGGTCATGTTATGACTTAACTACATCATGGTGGAAGTTCTGGTCCCAATTGTAGTTGTCAAGTCCACCTGTACTTTCTGATACACCTCCATGGAAATATGTATGGTTTCTAAAATTAAATGTTCGGTTTCCAATTGAAGACATATAGCTGTGTCACTTAATTTTGGTATAGCTTTTCAATGCTTACTTAGTAACTACAACAATTCTACAATCCCATATCTAGGATTTATTTTTTTACTTAGCATTGGGTGGGCAGAGAAAGAAATCAGGATAGTGTCTACTGTTTTAAGAATAAATAGAGGGACCAACTGTAACCAGTTTTGAAATTGTTCAAACGTAAACCTTAACTGAAAGCAAAAATGTATTGATATACTTTTCTTGTTATAACAATTTGAGACATTTTTCCCCAAATCCATACATTGTTGAAGTTACTGTAAGTGCAAAAATGAATATTTAGAAATCCTTGTATTAGATACAAATTACTTTTGCATCTAGCGCTATCCTATATCCAAAAGACATATGCAGCAAGGGCATTGAAATGCCATTATTTAATATGGTTGTTTTCAGGTAAGTATCTATAAGAATACAATTTCAGGGTAGTCTGATTCAGCTAAGGATATCTGTGTGTATAAGCAAGCCTGGAAATATAGATATAAATTTTCATTGCCTAAGAATATCTGGCTGCATATTTTTCTCTAAAATAAGAATATATAATAAAGAATGTAACTCTTATCCACATGAACCTCAAGGAACCAGACATAATGTATTTTGAAAATGCAACTAGAGCAGAACCAGGATGTTTGCTTAAGTAATTTTTTTCAACTCTGGCCACAACCAATTCACAATTTTTTGTGGAGGCACAGAGAGGAAAACATTTTCATACAATAACAATTAATTTTAACTTGAGTTTCAACTACCAGCACTGAGCCAAGTAGCATTTTAACAAACAGTGAAATTAAGAAGTTTGTCTTATTTCCTAGGGGAGGGCAACACAAATGTGTTTTAAAACTTGCTTCAAAACCCTATGACAAGTGCAACTGTACTTAACAGCAGTATACACATACATAGTATATACCTGCCAGAGAATACAGACTACTGAATGCAAACCTAAAACTAAAAAAGTATTTTTCCTCCAATGTTAGTTATTTATGTTGTAAGTAAAATGATTAATGCAATAAGGAATATATTCTACAGCTAAAAATGAAATAGTGTGAAACATAAATATAAAAATTCCAAAGGCAGCTTATTTGAAAGGTTTTCAGTTGTGCTTATGAATATTACCCATTTTTGAAGCTATTCTCTCACTTTGTAAACACAAGTAATTTCCTAGAAATATATTGGGTGTTCTTTTATAGAAAGATTGTCTGTCACATTTTAAGAGTGAAGCACTGTGCTAGCATACATTTTAGTCATTTCAGAAAAGCAAACATGAAAAGGTTACACAGTGCCAGTATCATCATTAAATTGTAATTGAATGCATAATTTTGTTCATATAGGTCCATCTGATAACAGTAATCCATAAACACAATCCATAATAATTAGAATACACATTTGAGCCACTTTTCAGTCTTTCCTGTAATACAGCAAACAAAGCACATAATCTGTGAAGGCACTAAAATTATTGTCTCTAAAGCCAAGAACTCCTGTAAAATGTTCTTAGTGGTCCCTGTGCATTGAAAGTTTAAATAAAATTTAGCATTATAGATATTTATTTGGAGTTATTCTTAACTCAAGGCTATTTGACAGCTGCATTTCTACTTAGTAGTATGCACACACAACAGTAGTAAATACCAATTCTCATGCTCATGTTTGACCGAAGCCCTTACCAAAAACAAATACTCACGAGATTCAACAAATGACTATATTATCAGAAGATATCTTTTTTTTTTTCCTGGAAGATGTATATTTTGCAAATTGCAGCCAATTTGCTATGCTGTATTTTTCCTTGGAGATGGTAAACACCATTTTACAATTCATTAAGAAATATTTGCCACATGAACCTGAGCAATAAATGACCTATTGGGAGCATCTTTATCATCTTACTATCAATGTGAGAAATAGATTACCGAAGTATTTATAATTCAGATTGTGATAAAGTGCCTATTTGTAATCAGTCAACTATTGCACTTGTGGGGACTAGCAAACATTTTAAACTCTTCTGTTCCAAGGCAGTTAGCATTCAAATTATTGTATTATTATTTAATGTTAAGGTCCCAAGTATAAAGTGGCTATTAGTAAAAACATGTTGCAATAATCAATTATAATTCTGGGTACTTTACTTTCTGAGTTTCTTATTCCCAGTCACAACAAAGTAATTATCATCCTGTTTTGACTTTACTGTGGAATCCTTTAACCTAAGCTGTGTCCCTTTGGGTTGAACAGTTGTAGCTTTTCCTTTTAAAACAGGTTCCTTAGTGGTTGAATCAAGTTCTTTATCATTCTTTTGGGAGACTTTGACCTGTGCTTGACTTTTGACATTAGCCTTTACTGTCTTTTTCCTTGCCCCATTTATGGTCGATGTTTGAGGAAGACGCATAATAGATAACGGCATACGATCAGAATGTGTTGTTGCATCAGCTGTTCCCTGTATTTTCATCCTACTATTTTGAACTGGCCTCCTCTTGGCTGAAGCATAATTATTAACAGATGAAAATGGATTTTTACTCTTTACATCTAGCGTAGATGTCTGCTCAGTTGTTTTATCATTCGTAAGAGAGGAATTAGAACTCAGTTGTTTGGGGCTAAGAGCAGTTTTCTGTTTGGTTTGCTTAGTTTCCAATTTTCCTCTGTGTGAGTAAAACTGTGTGGGTAATGTTTGACTACTATTTTTGGAAATTATTTTTGTAGGCATTGTAGATGTTGGAGGGCAAGACGGCTTAGACACATGTAAATTTCTGTTAATGGTCTTTGCTGATTTTGCTGAGGTTTTTGAAAGAGGCTTGCATTTGGCTACATTTTTGAGCCCAGCTGCACTATCAGGAGAATGATGTCCTTCTAAACAGCCTACCCTTGTAGCCGTTTCAGGCAACCTGCAAAGTTTATTGTTTGAACAACCTAGAGCAGAATGTTGTACAGTTGGAGAGTTTTGGGAACATGCAGGCTTGGTAGATGATGCAGTGCATTTCTGAAGAGATGCTGATGGTGTTAAAGCAGCCCTCCCCTGAGCCGATGATGAGCACTTATTTATAGCTTGTCTATATTTTGAAACAGATGTAGGGTTATGAGAAGGGGGTGCTGGCTTTTTAAAAACCGGTTTTGATGCTTTGGGAAATGGCTGAAGGTTATTTACTGATGAATCTTTTAATTTGGGCTGGTTTCGTGTCAACTGGTCTGTGGGTAAGGAATGCTTTGCTGCTTCTGAAGAAGAAAGAACTGTTGGTTGGGATGACTTACATGCTGCCTGTTTCCTATTACCTACATGAGGGTTTTTTGAAACGGAAACCATAGTAGAAGGCTTTGAACTCTGTTTATGGTATGCATCAATGGCAGATATGGGATTCATGGGTGGAGGCTGTGGAGGTTTAGCAGACGAATCGGAAACCATATCACCAGATGCACCTTTTTGAAATGACAAAATCTTTTGTTCCAACGTTGCAAACTGAAGCATTCGGCAAGGATCGTATTTGAGAAGAAAACCTTGAAGAGTATCCCAGCCTCCACCAACACGTACCATTACATGTTTGCCATGTAACATCTAATAAAAGATTAAAAAAATAGTTTGATTATAACTGATTGCACTTAAGCAACATAGGTATTGTATGAAATATTACAATGGTTTTAACATTCAGTTTTCCCATTTGCCACCAATCCCTAGAGCAGTGTTTCTCAACCTTGGCCACTTGAAGATGTCTGGACTTCAACTCCCAGAATTCCCCAGCCAGCGAATGCTGGCTGGGGAATTCTGGGAGTTGAAGTCCAGACATCTTCAAGTGGCCAAAGGTTGAGAAACACTGC